TTAGTGATCGGCCTTTTAGGACTGCGATGGAGAGACACGCTTTCACTCAGAGGTTTATCAATCTGCCCCAGGGAGCTGTGGGCCCTCAGTCATTGAGTATAACCGGAACACGGGTTTTGGGTACTAATGGAATAGAGGGATATGGGGATAGTGTGAGAGGGCAGACCTGATGCAGCAGACCCACGATGATCTGATTGGTGTAAGAAACTGAAGGTCCCACTTTGCCTATTTCCTATGTTTTTATATCTGCAGGCTATGACCTGAGGGCTCTATTCTGTCAACTCCCAGCAGACATCCTGTGGTATATCTTTATATCTTTCCATCCCTTTCTCCCTTGTTTATTTATTTAGTTTCCTCTTCAGCGAATCAGTGCTATTCCCTTCAACAATTCCCTGTGGGAACAAGTTCACTACATTTTCACTACTGTCTGCACAAAGACATTTCTCATACATTCCTGATTGGATTTATCATTGCTGTCTTAAACTGATAGTCTTCCTCACATTTTTGCCATGGGCTGGCCAGATGGCACAGTGATTCCACCCTCGGGTGTCTGTGTGGAGTTGGCACATTCTCCCTGTGTCTGTGTGGGTTTCTTTCGGGTGCTCTGGTTTTCTCCCACAGTCCAAAGATGTGCAGGTTAAGTGGATTGGCCATGGGAAATGCTGGGTTATGGGAATAGGGTGTGGCCTGGGTGGGATGCTCTTCAGCGGTTCGGTGCAGACTAGATAGACTGAATGGCCTTTTTTCCACACTGTAGGACATTCTATGATTCTCTGATGCCGCTATCATTTTTAAAAAACGGGGAGGTGGCGATGTCACTGGATCTGTAATCCAGGCCATTAGCCCTGGCTAATGGGTTGGAATCCCATCGTAGCAGATGGTGAAATTTGAATTCAATAAAAATCTGGAAGACAATGCTAGCTTAATAATGAACACAGTCGATTGCCATAAAAAGAGACTATCTGGTTCATTTTTATGGAAGGAAATCCACCATCTTTACCTGTCTGCCCAACAGCTGTGACTCCAAGCCTGGGAGTTTAGAAGAATGAGAGGAGACTTCGTTGAAACAAACAAGATTCTTAAGGGGTAGGGGGTGGGAGATTGACAGGGTAGATACAGAAAGGTTTGTTTCCCTTTGTGGGAGAGTTTTGGACTAGTGGGCATCATCCCAGATGATGTTTGCACATTTAAGACTGAGATGAGGAGGACTTTTTTTTCTTTCAGAGGGTGATGAATCTATGGAGTTCTTTATCACACAGGCTATCAAGGCTGGGACATTAAATATATTCAAGGCTGAGTCAGACAGATTTTTAATCAGTAAGGGAATGGAGGGCTATGGGGAAAAGGGCAGGAAAGTGGAGTTGAGGATTATCAGATCAGCCGTGATCTTATTGAACAGTGGAGGAGACTCAGAGTCATACAGCGCGGAAACAGAAACAGGCAGTCCAACACTGACCATGCTCCCAAGCTAAACTGGTCCCATTTGCCTGCATTTGGCCCATAACACTCTAAACCTTTCCTATTCATGCACTTATCCAAATGTCTTAACTTAAAGGGCTGTAAGGCCCACTTCTGTCCCTATGTCTTATGGTCTAATGTGGTTGACTCTAAAGTGCCTTCAGGGAATGAGTGGCCTACTCATACTCCTAATTTGTAGTTCAGGCATTTACATGTTTATTCTTATGGTATTGCCAATTGTGGTTTAACCAAAATTTGGTAAATAATTATTGGACCTTCTCTGCTTTTCAACGAAAGGCAACAGTGCCCTCATGGTTTAAAAATCGAAAAAACTGCAAATGCTGTAAATCAGAAACAAAACGCAGAAATTGCTGCAAAAGCTCAGCAGGTCTGGCTGCATCTGTGGAGAGAAATCAGAGTTTCTGTCACCGGACCCAGAAACATTAACTCTGATTTCTCTGCACAGATACTGCCAGACCTGCTGAGCTTTTGCAGCAATTTCTGTTTTTGTGCCTCGTGACTTGTTCCTTTTCATGGCCGTGTCAGCCCGCATCTCTTCATGTGGTGATTTGTATTTCTACTCCCATTTATATCAATATTGTTTATACCCTGTCCTGTGTCAGTCTAATTGATCACACTCATGACACATGATACTGGCTTGTCTTTATCTGGAGGCAATCAGTTACAAGCATCTGCCAATCTATAATCTCTCCACGTCCACAGCAATTACTATCTAATTAATCCCAAATTAATATGCGTATCAGGACTGTCTCAATGCTACAATGCGCACACAGTAGGATGCCAGGGTATCACATATATCAATCCTGTATAAAAATGAATATACCTCAGTGTTACATGAACATTCGTGTTCCATTTGAAACTAGTTGAAGAGTTTATTTACTTCTTTGAAAGGAAATGCTTTGAAAACGTTATTTTTGAGTTTTGTGTCTGGCTGAATTGGTCATTGTTGAGTGAGCATTAACATCCCTGCTGCAACTCATTGGGAAGGCGGTAGCACAGTGGTAATGGAGCTGAAACCCAAGGCTAATGTTGAAACCAAGGGAATAGAAACAGAAGCAAACACAGAAATTGCTGGAGAAACTCAGCAGGTCTGGCAGCATCGGTGGAGAGAAAGCAGAATTAAGGTTTTGAGTCATAGAGTCATACAGCACAGAAACAGATCCTTCAGTCCAACGAGTCCATGACAAACATAATCCCAAACTAAACAAGTCAAACCTGCCTGCTTCTGGCTCATACCATTCCAAACTTTTCCTATTCATGTACTTATCCAAGTGTCTTTTGAACTTTGTAACTGTGCTCGCATCCATCACTTCCTCAGAAGTTCATTCCACACACAAACCATTTCAGTGACTTTTTGTCAGAACTGGAAAGAAGACTGACTGGATTTGAAACCTTAGCTCTGTTTCTCTCTCCACAGATGCTGAGTCTGCCTAGCAATTTCTGATTTTGGTTCCAGCGTCTGCGATTATTTGGTTTATTTTGATATTCCGGGATCATGGGTTTGAACGCTGCTGTGGTAGGCAGTGAAGTTTGAATTCAATAAAAACCTGGAATTACAAATTTAGTGATGACCATGTAACCATTATCAATTGTCTTTAAAAGCCCATCTGGTTCACTAATGCCCTTTAGGGAAGGAAATCTGACCTGCTCTGGTCTACACGTGACTCCAGAGCCATAGCAACATGGCTGATTCTTAACTGCCTTCTAGGCAACAAATGGTGGTCCAAACTGCATCTTGTGAGCGACTGAAAAAAACTTGGAAATAGTTTGCAATGTTTGGTCTCTTGAAATGGAATGTTAAAACAAAATTGCCACTTTTCCTCAGCAGTGAGGCAGAATCTGATAAATTCTTCAGTTGATAGATCACTGGCAGCCAGGGACCCTGGGGTTGATGCCAGCCTTGCCTCTATCTGCTGTAAGCTCTCTGCCCAAGTCTTTGTATGGCAGGGTAGGAGCAGTGAGTAAAGGCTGTGTATTGAAGCCACATTTCACAGAATCAAAGTTATGCTGCACAGAAACAGACCCTTCAGTTCAACTTGCCCACGCCAATCAGATATGCTAAACTAACATAGTCTCATTTGCCACCAATTGGCCCATATTTCTCTAAACCCTTCCTATTCATATACCCATCCAGATGCCTTTTAAGTGCTATAATCGCACCCACCTCCACCACTTCCTTTGGCAGCTCATTCCATACACGCACCACCCTCTGTGTGAAAAAGTTGCCCCTCGGGCCCCTTTTAAATCTTTCCCCTCTCACCTTAAACCTATGGCCTCTAGTTCTTGACTCATCTACCCTGGGAAAAAGACTTTGGTTATTCACCCTATCCATGCCCTTCATGATTTTATAAACCTCTATAACATCACCTCTCAGCCTCAGACGCTCCAAGGAAAATAGTCCCAGCCTACTCAGCCTCTCCCTATAGCTCAAACCCTCCAACAGTGGCAATATCTTTATAAATCTTTTCTAAACACTTTCACATTTATAAATATCTTTCCCATAGCAGAAAGACCAGAACTGAACACAGAATTCCAAAAGTGGCCTCACCAACGTCCCGTACAGCTGCAACATGACCTCCCAACTCCTATACTCAATACACTGACCAATGAAAACAAGCATGATAAATGCAATTTCACCACCCTGTCCGGCTGCAACTCCATTTTCAAGGAACTATGCACTTGCATCCCAACGTCTCTTTGTTTGGCAACTCTCCCCAGGTGCTTACCAATATAAGTCCTGCCCTGGTTTGCCTTACATTTACCCAAATTAAACTCAATCTGTCACCCCTCCAACCATTGGCCATCTGATCAAGGTCCCATTGTACTCTGAGGTAACCTTCTTGCTGTCCACTACACCTCCAATTCTGGTGTCATCTGCAAACTTACTAATCATTCCTCCTATGTTCACATCCAAATCATTTATATAAATGATGAACAGCAGTAGACCCAGCACTGATCCTTGCAGCACACCGCTGGCCAAAGGCCTCCAGTCTGAAAATAACTCTCTACCACCACTCTCTGTCTCCTACCTTCAAGTAAATTTTGTATCCAATTGACTAGCTCTCCAATGTGATCCAACCTTGTTAACTAGTCTACCATGCTGAACCTGGTTGAACTCCTTGCTGAAGCCCATATAGACAACGTTCACTGCCCTGCCTTCAACAATCTTCTTTGTCACTTCTTCAAAAAACTCAATCAAGTTAGTGAGACACAATTTCCCACGTACAAAGCCATGTTAACTATCCCTACTCAGTCCTTGCCTTTCCAAATGCATGTAAATCCTATCCCTCAGAATCCCCTCCAACAACTTACCCACCACTGACCTCAGGCTCACTGCTCTATAGTTCCCTGGCTTTTCCTTAATACTTTTCTTAAATAATGACACCACGTTAGCCACCCTCCAGCCTTCCGGCACCTCACCCACTTCATGCCCCTGTCATGCATTGTGTAGGGTTGAACCAGTCTACATGATGCGGAAGGGAGGTCAGAGATTTGGATAAGGGTGTCAGTGAGTTACCAACCTTCGCTATTGCCATGGCACAGCTGTGCCCAGAGATCTCTATCAATTGCTGCTGTCCAAATCTGTATTCTTCATAGAGTTCACCCTCCAGGGCCTTCGCCTCTTCTTTACTGCAGAAAACACAACGAGGGGGAAACAGTGAGAACACGCGGAGGTAATGGCCTGGTGGTATTATCACTGGACTGTTAATCCAGAGACCCAGATAATGTTCTGGGGACCCGGGTTCGAATCCCGCCACGGCAGATGGTGGAATTTGAATTCGATAAAATATCTGGAGTTAAGAATCTAATGATGACCATGAATCCATTGTCGCTTGTCAGAAAAACCCATCTGGTTCACTAATGTCCTTTAGGGAAGGAAACTGCCATCCTTCCCTGGTCTGACCTACATGTGACTCCAGACCCACAGCAATGTGGTTGACTCTTAACTGCCCTCTGGGCAATTAGGGATGGGCAATAAATGCTGCCTAGCCAGCGGCACCCTGAATGAATAAAAAAAAATTCCTGCGATGGAATTTCCCCTCTCCACAAGTGTTGGGAAGGGCAGATATTCAATGGGTTGGCACCAGTGAGATTCTCACCACCTCCCCTGCCTGCCCACCCAGCCAGCCCAGGTTACAATCTCTGGCAGAGATGGTCCCCATAGTCAAATTCCCCAGCCCACTGCCAACTAAACCTCTGAAGTTGTCAATTGACAACAACTTGAGGACCTATTCTGACAAAGGGTCACTGGACTGACAACATGAACATCCACAGATGCTGCCAAACCTGCTGAGTTTCTCCAGCACTTTCTGTTTTCGTGGCTACACTTTTCAATCTTCGTAATCAACTGGTCCAGGCAAGTTGTGAGGCACCTGTGGAGCAGGTGGGGTTCAAACCTTGGATTTCTGGGGACGACAGGGATGCCACTGTGCCCTAAAACTCTTTGACTAAATTTCTATCACTGTTGGGAAGAGATGATTTCAAAATTTAATCCACCCTAAATCTCTCTGAAGAGCAGAACAAACACATGGCAGAAATTTGAAGGCACACTTTGGGCCCCAAATGAATGTTACATGTGAATAGTATGTACTCAGTGCTGGGAAACAAGTTAAAAAAGAGTTACTAATGCAAGAGAACACACAGCTATGTATTTAATAAGAGACAAAAAAAAACTGTAGATGCTGGAATCCAAGTAGACAAACAGGAGGCTGGAAGAACACAGTAGGCCAGGCAGCATCTGGAGGAAAGGAGCAGTCAATGTTTCAGGTATTACCCTCCTTCAGAAGAAGGGGAATACCCAAAACATTGATGGTGTATTTGATAACTTAGGTTTCTCAAAATGTGCATGCAATTTGTTTTTGCATAAAAAAGTGGGTTGTTTGAACTGAAAAACAATCATGTGTAAATATCCTAGATAACAAGATGTAGAGCTGGATGAACACAGCAGGCCAAGCAGCATCAGAGGAGCAGGAAAGCTGACGTTTCGGGCCTAGACCCTTCTTCAGAAATGGGGGAGGGGAAGGGGGTTCTGAAATAAATAGGGAGAGAGGGGGAGGCGGATAGAAGATGGATAAGGGAGAAGATAGGTGGAGAGG